TTTTTCCTATTTAAAACTTGACTCATCTGTAGTTACATCGTGTACCAAGACCGACTGAAAATGAAAAGTTGCTGTTTTCTAGGCCGATATGGCTAGGAACTATACTCGCATTCCGGCGTAATAATCAAGGAACTTTGCTGCCGTACCATGTTGACGGAAGTTAGCCTATTTTCAGGCGCTGCATAATATCATTGCTAAAACAGCAACTTTTCATTTTCCGTCGGTCTTAGTACACGATGTAACCACAGAAGAGTCAAGTTTTAAATAGGAAAAATATAGAAACTCTTTGGTCATTTTTGAGCGAGATGCTAACGGTCTAATCAGATTAAATGATCTATGCTAAGCTACAGCTAAAAGTGCTACCGCCAGACCCGGAGATCGGCTGAATGGATTCGAAAACGGTAAAACTCAACTGTTTAACTCTAGGGGAGTTGGAAAATGAGCCTATTTTCAAAAATAGTGGAGTGTTCCTTTAAGATATTAAGTCTTGTTTTCAGAAAAAATTATGTGAGTTTATGCTTAAGTCAGAATCTTAATTCAAAGGGAAAACAGGTTTATTTTTCTGGCCCCACTGCCATATATTTTTCTTATTTTAAGCAAAAACTCATTTTGATCAATATTTCAAAAAACAAGACTTAATATTGTCATTTTACATCGCAATCTTGATTTAGGAATGTTTCGATATTTATACCTAAAAACTAGCCAAAAAACTGAGTAAGAAAATATTTTGTTCATTAATAAGAATTTCAGATGATTGGAACCATTTCAGAAATCTAATTCATGGTATTCCGACTTCATTTCTAACTGATCCTGCTTTTTCCACAACCTCAATAAGCGTTTACGCATTTATATGCATCAGAGATCCATCAGAGCTTTTAACAATATGGTGTGTGGATGCCATGCTGTTTATTATGTATGCCTTTATTTTTGTGAATAGTCAACAGAAAACTGGCAGCAAAGCGTTTTATTTATTCAGAACCAGACTTTTTTTTACGCAAGCACTTCCGGAAAGACAAATCTAATTATAAAATAATTTATGCTTTATTCTATAACGTATGTATTCACGTTTCTCACATTAAAAGTTCAAATCACACACAAAAAAAAGATTTATATTGCTAATAAAACCGCTGAATTTGCAATTTTTTGGTTTGTCAGATCAAGAAATCACAAACGAAGACTGAAAACCGTTTTCAGTTGGAGCTTTCCTTGCAAATGCAGCTGAATGAGCCACAATTTCACAACTTACCTGAACTGGGTTTGGCTATATTTCAGTTTCGCTAGATCATCAGCGTAATGTGTTTTTGGCTGGATTAATACGGTGTTATTATCGTAAAAAAAACTCTGTAATTAATTGTTCTTCAGAGCTTAAGCACAGTGCCAATAATATATTTTGACGTCCCTGTTAAACCGCTACTGTTGTTGTGTCTCAGCAATGAATGTAACAGGAATGTAAACTTGAATTAAGGCTACACAGAGGAAGTGCGAACGAAGAGTGGTGGGCTGATACACTTACACGCATTTTCACCAGCACACGCCATCTAAAACAAGGCCAGTGGTAAAAAAAAACAACACATGCACAAGAAAAAACACTGAAACTATCAGGTGAGGTTAACTGCACGCAACCTCAACACACACAGACAGACAACAAAAACGGCCGGTTTGTGGTGAAGTCACATTGACAAACACCAGCAATAATCTCAAAGGAAAAGAGAACAAGCACTAAGTAGGACGACTACATTGGCACGAGAGTGGGAAGCCCAACTAAACATAGCAAATAATAAAACCAAAAATAAAAAACAACCTCAGCCACATCCAGCTCATCATCAAAGGCAATTAGCTGGAAGAGAAGAGCATACAGCAAAGTTAGTATCGTGAAGGAAGGAATCAGAGAACGCACAAATAAAAAAATGCCAAACGATGTTCGTTAGTGACATAACACAAGATTATTGTGATTGTTATTTATCAGCATTAGCTCGGAAAGCATTAGTTGCCAACTACAAAAAGGTGCGACTAAATCTTGTCATTTGTAGTTAAAGACCCCATGAATTCATGAGTGCAGTTTTCTTTCCAAAATAAAATAAAATAAAATAAAAAATCTACAGACATAGAATTAAAACCTTAAACTCTCTTTTTGTTTTCATGGAGTCTTTAAATCAGAAATTGGATATAGCCAGAATTAACATTATAATAAAATCTTGGGCATTCAGATATGTTAGTGACGTTAATTGGGTGTTAATTCATTTAGTGATGGTAAAAAAAACACATTAGGAAAATCAGCATGTTTTATAAAGTGTTAGGAGTCATGAACAGATGCATGTGTGTGTTTGTGTGCAGTTATGTATATAAAAGTATATAGGTTAATAAAAACAGCATGTCAGATGTTTAACATAGTCCTCTGAACTTGGTTTTAGGCGCTAATGTGGAAAGACGGAGTGAAGCGTGTCCTGTAGGCCTGTTTTGCTATTTTTATGGGTAATATGGACAAATGTCCAGTAACACACACCAAAGCATTCTTGTAATTTCATCAAGATGTATAATAGTGCTGTAGAAGACAGGATTGTGTAAGTGGAAGGATATTTTTCATTTGTTTTATGCAACCACAGCATGTATGTTACCTTCTCCCCATAGCCGCGGTCCTTCGTCATCATTTCTCGAAGTGTCTGCAGAACTTTTATACACAAACGCTCCTCGTTCTCCTCTAAAAGCTGTTTAGTGTGTTTGATTAATCTGAAAGAGAAAAACACAGTACGTCTCACAAGTTTGTTATATAATCTTTAGCAGACCTCAAAATGAATATTTGGTCTTTTACATTTTCAGTTAATATTGTGATTATTTGATTTATGGTTATTTTATTTTATTTTTTTAATAATGACCCCACGTTAATGCAGTATGACTGTCCTTATAAATATTCTGTAAACTAAAAAAAAGCTCTGACTTAAACTGAAAAGAAAAGAAACCAGATTGAAACCAGAATCTGAGCTGTTAATGGTCTTCCATTTTGCTCCCACTGACAGTACAAGGGACGCTTGCATTGTAATGAAACTCCATTCCTGAATCAGCTAATCCTGCATCTCAGCATTACTCCCACACGCAAACAAACATAGATGGCCACACAAACACACAGGTAATCTCTTTTGTAGCTCTGGCAGATGGAGAGGAGTCTCTCACAGCACAAGGACACACACTGAGGACAGGTGAAGGACAGTAAGCACTACTGCACCACTGCAGAATGCAGCTCAGTGATTTATTATTCATACGTTTCATATGTTTTCGAAATAAGTCTCTTATTCTCACCAAGGCTGCATTTATTTGATTGAAAATACAGTAAAAACACTAATATTGTGATTAGGGCTGAAACGATTAGTCGACATTATCGACGACAAATCTTTTTGTTGTCGAGTAGTCATTTGATCTTATTTTACCTAATGTAAGAGCCTGCAATAACGCGGTTTGACCAGTGTGGCGCTGTAGCGCAAGACTGTAATTCAGCCTTCCTGATGCAATTCAAGAGAAGACGACACAGCGCTATATATGCAGCGCGCTTTCCTCTCAATAACAAAATAAACACAACAAAAACTGACCGCAGTGTGAAAGCAGCAGTTAAGAACGCATCTGATTACATTACAGCGATGTGGATGTTTGCACGAGCTCTGCAGTTCGGTACTCCAGTAAAGTCCAGTCACGTCAATTCATATAACTTAGTACTTTATGCAATAGATAGCCTTAAATCAAGAAGCTTTACAGTATTAAACATGAAAAACCAGAGTCAGTGTCGCTTTTAGTTAGAATTAAAACTTGATTTTCTGTTATAAATCAACTCTCCAGTGTGGAGCTAGCTAATGAAAAAAATATTTTTATTAGTGGGAAAAAATATTTCATTAAAGTTATAGTTTGGTTTGCAGAGATCAAAGCTTGATCTAGCTCAGGACTGTTTTGATTATCATAACCCTATAAGGTATTTTAAGAGAGATTATGTTGTGAATAAAATAGTTTATTCAAAAATAAAACATCTCATCACTTACCTTTATTTTGTTTCTTATCCATATGACTTACAAAAGGAGATTTTAGGCAGAATGATGTGTTATTCAGTTACTTTTTCATTTAGCTAATTAAATAGAGAAACTCTCTTATTCACCGTCATCTCATTTTGTGTGCCAAATATATTTATTTGTATAAATTAATTGTATAATTGTAATTACATAATATGATTTTCAATAGCTGAAGTGATTACCTTAATTTATTTGTTAGAATTTGTATAACTCAATATTTTAACTAATTGCAAAAGTCGAATAATCAATAAATGTCTACTGATTAATCAGTGAAATAATCGTTGCTTAATCTAACGATTAATCGATTATCAAAATAATCGTTTGTTGCAGCCCTAATTGTGATATATTATTAGAATTATAAAGACTTTTTTTTTTTTGATCCTATATGTGTTTTAGGTCACCCAATGAAACATATTCACAGATGCTATTGGTTCATAACATAAAAATAGGAAGACTGTTATGACAGTTTTGTCCTCTCAGTTCAAGAAGATGGTTCTATGGTTTAAGGTTTATAGGAAAAGGAAACTCACTTAGAAATGAAGCCTCCGCTCTCGCATTTCCGTCGAGCATCTGTGTTTTCGGGGAAGAGCAGCTCTGGGCGATGCAGTACGTCCACCAACACCGAGAGCTCAGCTTGAACCAGCGGCCGCAGACGATCCTCCAGAGCAGACACGATGTCCTGACAAACACACATTAGGGCATTTATTTTGATCATATGCAACTAAAGCCATGCACAGTGACAATATAATACATTTTACCACAGGATGTACATGAGACACAAGCACCAAATGGGACTGAAACCTGACACTGACGAGTGCATAAATGTGGCTGCTAACTTTATATTAGAACCCAAACCTCACAAAGTATTTGTATGGCACATATCATACTCCACAGAGAGATGGAAACTGGCTTATTTCATATATGTGACCCTGGACCACAGTCATAAGGGTAAATTTTTTACATCTGAAAGCTGAATAAATACGTTTTCCATTGATGTATGGTTTGTTAGGATAGGACAGTATTTGGCCGAGATACAACACAATTTCACAATACAATATTTGAAAATCTGGAATCTGAGGGTGCAAAAAAAATCTAAATATCGAGAAAATCGCCTTTGAGGTTGTCCAAATGAAGTCTTTAGTCTTTAAGTTTTGACATATTTACGGTAGGAAATTTACAAAATATCTTCATGGAACATGATCTTTACTTAATATCCTAATGATTTTTGGCATAAAAGAAAAATGGATAATTTTGAGTCATACAATGTATTTTGGGCTATTGCTACAAATATACCCCAGCGACTTAAGACTGGTTTTGTGGGTCACATATGATACACTAAGTTTGAGTTGGATTGTTTTTTATGCCTCTCCTGCACTCCAAGGCTGCATTTATTTGATCAAAAATATTTTCATGTTTTAGATATAATATTAGGCTTAAAATGTACTATTTTAAAATGTACTATTTTACTGATGGAAAAGCTGAATTTTCAGCAGCCGTTCTCCAGTCTTCAGTATCATATGATTCTAATATGCTGATTTGCTATTTGAGAAATATGATTATCATTGTTGAAAACAGTTGTGCCGTATAATATTTTTGCAGAAAAACCATGATACATTTCAGGATTCATTGATAAATAGAAAGTTCAAAAGAACAGTAGCTATTTGTTTTTTATTTATTCGTTTATTTTTTCATGTAAATGCCTTTACTGTCATTTTTGGTCAATAAAATACATCCATTTTTTTGTTTAAATAATCTTTCTGACTCTACTGAAACTTTTGTACATATTTTATTGAAACAATATTAAACTACATTTATTTTGTTAATATATTTTATATTATTAAATACTGAATGTTTTGCCCTTTCATATGTGTAACAAACAGGCGATCATGTCACTTGCAACATCATATATGAAGTGAGCACGTCTCTGTCTCTGTCTAAAAAAACATCTTGTATATTTTCATTGGCACTGGCAGGTGTGGTAAAAAGCCATTTTTGGACCCAGGCCACAAATATTGTCAGCACCAAGGGCATGATTTGTTTTCATAGCGAGGGATGAATCCAGCAGCCCTAAGGCTCATAGCACAGACGTGAGTTGTGCAAACGTGTCTGAATACTTGCCAACTCACGCCCCAGCTGCACGGGGGTGGAGACAGACGTGATGAAGCCATGGTTTACCGCAACTCGCTAACTCACCCTTCCCCTCCCCCAGACTAGATGACACCCCTCCACTGACCTCTATCCCCTTCACCATCTTCTGGGTGGAGTATGAAAGCAGTATTTTAAAACGAGAGGAAATGCATGTTTCTACCCACAACACCAACTTCTGATGACAAGGTGTCTTTTGTTCAGCATTTCAAAATTGCACCTTTCAAAGAAATTAACTGCTGTTCCTCTGTTAAACACAACAGCAGGAGCTTCTTGATACCACTGGAGACATATCAGTAGAAGTTGCTGTATCCGTTTGTATGGCGTCACATGGGCCATTTAACCAAACATGCTCTGCATTTAAAAATAACTTTAATACTGATATACATACATATATTTTTTTCCCTCAGTCATCATGTGGATGTTGTTTTTGAACTTTCCTCAATCCAGTTCTTCCAACTTCTTGCTTTATTATTACTTTTAAATAATTATTAATATATATATATATATATATATATAATTTTTTGCACATTAACATTTTTTTTAATTACTTTTTAATTTCTTTCCAAAATAATAAAACAAAAGCTAGCATTAGCTTTAGCTAGCATTACCATAATACTTTTCACATATTAAACTATGACAAAAAAATAAAACTATAAAATACAATAAAATATACTACTATAAAAATACAGTTCTTTTGTGTCAACTCATTTTTGTTATGTTTGTTAACGTTGTTGCCATGAATTTTTTATAATAAATGAAATGCAAATTAAAAAGCATAATACTACTATACTACACTATTTTAACACTATAATAATATATCAAACAAATTCTCTATAAAATATTAAAAAACATTACATTACAAACCACATTTAAATTATTATAACCTTAAGCTGTTAAATACATTTTTCAAATTAAGTTATTTTTTTTTCTTCAAACAAATTAAACTGCAAATCCTGTTACCATCAACATTGTAGCCTTTCTGAAGGCAGTATTTTATACAAACATATGTTAAAATGTATTAATTTAGCTTGAGATGGCGCAATGCAATTTATCATCACTTAAATGCATTATTTATCTGATAGAACATCTACAATTTTACAGTAAAAACCATCTTATCAAACTGGACATGCACCAGTTTCATAAAATGATCCATATAGAATGTGTCGGTGTGAGCTGGAATCTTCAATTAGTGCCAAAAGACAAACATTATCAGAACATTCCACCCTGACTCAACTTCCCTATAACAATGCACATGAATTCCTGGAACTAATTTCCTGTTCCCCCACCTCTTCAAATTCCATTTTGCAATGCATCTGGAACAATATAGATGAGGTTTTTATACACATGATTGACCAACCGACCGTATGACCAAACAATGATTTTTAACAATAATGCTATTTTTAAGTGTGTCTTGATGAAAGCTATTGTGACGCAGTATTTAATACAAAAACATTGCGTTATTGGCTGTTCTCCGGAGACCCCGCCCTCACCTGCAGCCTCTCAATGATGTTCCTGTAATCTTTGGAAGTGGTGAGCGTTGAGTCTCTTCTGGACGCGTTGCGAGCTGACATCCTCCAATTGAGGATGGTTTTCTGTACCACATTGTTGGACTTCACAAACAGGTTGTTCACCTGGCTGTCCAAATCCACAGGGATGGCGATCGCTCTGCTCTTGGCTGAAAAAAAAGACAATTGTAAATACAATTACATGCACACTTAAAGGGATAGTTCAGCCAAAAATTTTAATTTGATGTTTATCTGCTTACTTCCAGGGCATCCAAGATGTAGGTGACTTTGTTTCTTCAGTAGAACACAAACGAAGATTTTTAATTCAAACCGTTGCAGTCTGTCAGTCTTATAATAGAGGTGAATGGGAATCAATACTTTGAGAGTCAAAAAAAGACATACACAAACAAACCTGCGGCTCATGATGATACATTGATCTGTATCAGCCGTGCATGACGTGTCTTCTTCTTCTTCTTACTTTATGGCGGATCGCAGACTTATAAGTGCATTACCGCCACCTATCTCTCAAATGGTCCATTGACACTCCTAATTGAGATTGTAGATAGAGTGTCAATGGTCCATTTGAGAGATAGGTGGCGGTAATGCACTTATAAGTCTGCGATCCGCCATAAAGTAAGAAGAAGAAGAAGAAGAAGATGTGTCACGCTACGGCTGTCGAGGACGTGCTCAGATTGTAGACACTCTATCTACAATCTCAATTAGGAGTGTCAATGGACCATTTGAGAGATAGGTGGCGGTAATGCACTTATAAGTCTGCGATCCGCCATAAAGTAAGAAGAAGAAGAAGACGCGTCACGCTACGGCTGTCGAGGACGTGCTCAGGACAGTTCAGACACTGCAGCGCATCAGAGCTAAAAAAAAAACGATATAAATACTGTTCAGTTTCTTGCACAGACCGGTCGTTTCGTGTCTTTACACATCAATGTATCGTCACGAGCCGCAGGGTTTAATTTGTTTTTTTTTTATTCTCAAAGCCGTGATTCCCATTCACCTTCATTATAAGACTGACAGACTGCAACGGTTTGAGTTAAAAATCTCCGTTTGTATTCTACTGAAGAAACAAAGTCACCTACATCTTGGATGCCCTGGGGGTAAGCAGATAAACATACAATTTTTCATTTTTGGGTGAACTATCCCTTTAATACAGCAAATGGTGAAATCATCTCTTTACGCCTCAGATTTTTATTTTAAAGGACGGATGTAAAGATAAATGGAAATGGAGCTGCATGAGGTTCATTTATGTAAAGTTTGAATACTTGTTACAGTCAAATACTTACCCACATCAGACAGAACCTTAATACAGCTCTCCACTGAGGCTTTCTGGGCAGGAACGAGCCAGTTACAGTGGTAAACTCTGAAAACCCCCTGCAGGAGCTGCACAAACACAGGCTGCCGGGTCTGGAGAACAAGAATGCAAAAACAACGAGAGAGGACAGAGAAAAGGATGGAGAGAGATTATATTAGACACAGAGAGACAAAAGGAGGGGAAACAAATAACTACACAATAATAATAGAGAAGCTGAGAGGAAACTTCTGTGATGGACACTTTCAAAAGCTTCACGTTTTCAAGTGAATGAAACATCTGTGCACCATTTTTGGTTTCTACAACATCTTCAATAGAAGGTTCGATAGAAGTTCAATTCTATCGACAGCATAAGACCCCAAAGTCTGTGGGTCAATGATAGGGCTGTGCGATTAATCGAAATCGTCATAAAATCGCGATTTGAGCTTGCGCGATTTCTAAATCGCTTTATAGCACGATTTTCCACGCCCCCAACCTCCCGCAGTATGCTATCCGAACCAATCAGAATGCAGCGCGCCTAAATGGAGCACAAGAACAGAACAGACCGGGCGGGCATACAAACGTAACACCAGGTTCACACACTCCGTCTGTGGTGCGTATTTTTTCCACGCCCATGTTACCGGATAAGAGCGTTCACACTGCACACGATTGCGATCTGGCAGTGCGCTCCAGGAGCGGGGCGTCTGCAGCAGTCATGCTGCAATCGTTTCCGCACGGAATCTATTTCTGCTGTGCTGCACGCACTGAATTAAAGTGGCAGCGCATTATTCGCTGTAAAAATTTACATGGACTGACATGGAAATTTTGTAATTACACTATAAATGCATATAATTAAAGTCTACTGTTTCACAGTCAACACATGGCTTGTTGGCTAGATTTAAAACAAGGAAAAGTGCACTTTTAGATTAACAAGGCAATAATAGATTGCACTTGTGGTGGTAGTTAAACAAAGTTATATTGAGTTTAAACGTGAATATGTCTATGAAAGATTGTATTACTGTTCTGTGATAAAAGAGAATCACAATGCTGAAAAAGCATTTTCAGAAACAACGTTTGGATTTGAAATCAAAATAATGGATAAATGTTGTTTGAGGTAAACAGCCGTGGATCAGGAGCGGACTGCAAACGCATCCTGTGCGAAAGCAAAATGAGTCTGTGCTGCTTCTGCACCGCATACACATACTGTATACGCACTGCAGACGGAGTACGTGTGAACTTGGCGAAACAAAACCAATGCATGGCAAAAAGAAAATCCCTGGACACGGAATTTTTTTTTCCTGCCATATGTCTATTCTAGAGACATTTTGTTACACCTTTACTTAGTGATTATTTTGCCTTATGTCTGTTCTAGAGACATGTTACAGCTTTCTGATAAAGCTCTAATTGGTTTTCTTTTGGAAATATGTTTCAAATTCACACTGAATGCATTAATGACTGTAAAGCATGTTTGTGTGTGTGTGTGTCAAAATCGTGATTAAAATCGCGAAATCGCAAAATTGATCAAAGAAATCGCAATAGGTTTTTTTTGTCCATATCGCACAGCCCTAGTCGAGGCATTCCAGAATTTTAAAGCAGCTCATATGTTGGTTAAAGCGCTTATGTCATATGTTGCCAACATAATTCCTACATTTTTTAAAGAAAAAAAAAATACTTTTATTAAGCAAGGATGATCAACAGTGAAAGTAAAGACATGTATGATGCTATAATAGATTTATATTTTAAATAAACGCTGACCTTTTGAACTTTCTATTAATCAAAGAATCAAATCAATAAAAAAAATGCATTTTCATAAAAAATATTTTTCAACAAATATGTTTTTAAGCTATCATGAAAAAAATATATATCAAGCAGCAACTGTTTTCAACATTAATAACAGTAAATGTTTCTTGAGCAGCAAATCAGCATATTAGAATGATTTCTGCAGGATCATGTGACACTGAAGACTGGAGTAATGATGCTGAAAATTCAGCTTCGTCAATACTGGAAAAAATTACATTTCAAAATATATTCAGAAAAAAAAAAATATGGTAATAAAATTCACAATATTACAATTTTTAATTAAATAAATGCAGCCTTGGTGCTCATACGAGGCTTCTTTCCAAAAAGGTCAAAACAAATCTCACTGGCCCCAAACATTTTATCTGTCTGACTTTAGTAAAGCTAATAGAATTACTACACATGCCATTTTTGTTTGATTGCACAAACTAAGGGACTGGTTTCTGTGGTATTCCACAGCAGAAGATGCTATCAATAGAGACTAGCTTACATTGAACCTGACACATCTCATTAAAGACAGTTTCTTAAAAAGAAATTCATACACCCATATTTGTGGACATTTCTCTAATTTTCTTACACGTATATAGGCTAAAAGGTTAACAAATTATGATGTGTTGACACCTCCAGTGACAGAAACTAACACCACATCTTACCACCAACACAATGGGTGAGAACGCAACAACACTCACAAGAAATGTGCAAAGCTGAGAGGAAGGATGGCATGTTTACCACGCTACAACTGCAAGACTTGTTCAAACGCTTTCTGGACGACTAGTCTAGTGCGCACAAGTTCTTAATTGTGAGGCTAAAAGGTTAACAAATTATGATGTGTTGACACCTCCAGTGACAGAAACTAACACCACATCTTACCACCAACACAATGGGTGAGAACGCAACAACACTCACAAGAAATGTGCAAAGCTGAGAGGAAGGATGGCATGTTTACCACGCTACAACTGCAAGACTTGTTCTGGACGACTAGTCTAGTGCGCACAAGTTCTTAATTGTGAAAAAAAAAAACTCAGTGTGATCTAGTTTCCCACTCAAACAGGATTACTAGCGAAGAGTCTAACCTAAACTACATCACCACATTCCATGAGCAACCACTGTGAAGTCATTACAAAGCGGTACCTCAGTTATTTTGCCTAAAATGGAGGCCTGTCACAACAAAGAGAGATGTGAGAGATCAGAGAAGGAAGCTGTCATGAAGCAACACTTCCAGGAAAGAATGAATGGGGTTTAGGATCGATACACGACACAGTATGAGGAGGCACTTGCTACTTTACAACTGCAGACTAAAGTAATAAAAATAAATTCATTCATTCATTAAAAAATAAGATTTGTCTGTATCTACATTGGTCAAAGGAAACCAGACATTTATAATGTTACAAAGATTTTAACATCAAATAAATGCTGTTTTTAAGCTTCCCATTCATCAAAATGTCATGACAAATACAATCTAAATATCTACAAAAATATTAAGCAGCAACTGTTTTCAACATTGATGATAGTAGGAATGTTTCTTGAGCACCAAATCAGCATATTAGAATGATTTCTGATGAATCATGTGACACTGAAGACTGAAGCAAAAAATTCAGAAATTTCAGCAGCATTTCAGAAGAATATATGACATTACATTACAATTATAGCCTTGGTGAGCATAAGTGAATTCTTTCAAAAACATATAAATGGTAGTGTAAATATATATGTATATATAATATAAAAATATGTAATAATAATAATAATAAACATAGATAATACGTAATAATATAGATAATATAATATAGATATAATATGTAATATATAGATATAGATATAATATGTAATAATAATAATATTATTATTATTATTAGATGATAGATAGATATTATATTTTATTAATTACATACTGTAGAATTAGTAATTGTATAATTGTACCAAAATCCTTTTGTTTTTTTTCTTAATGCATTTTCTAAAAAATCATATTTAAAATATAAACATAAAAATAAAATTCATGAGAAGTACATTTCTAGTCCTCTTTACTATTATGTGCATTACTGTATTACTGTAATTCAAAATAAATGATATATACTGTCATATGAATTGTCTTTCATCACATAATAGTAGTATTTTATCACCGAAAAGTTGAGAATAATGAAAAAATTACATAAAATATCTGTCTTGATGCAAGATTTAACTTATTTTGATCTGTAAAAACAAACAGTGAAGTCTACTTTTAAAGTTCTAAGCTCTTTAAAACCTAACTAAGGAAATAGGCATCATGTCACCTAAAGTTCAGAAAGTGAAAATAATGGTACGGTACAGATCTAGTACCATTCATGTGATTTCTTTTATCTCCAGAGAGCAAAGTCAGACGGGCTACATGGAAAGACGGACAATAGTAAAAATACCAGGATTTCCAAGAAAAGCTATACTGTCAGCCTCCACAGCCACCAACGCTCTACAAGCATACACACACTATGTGGATCGGCCCTGGTTTCTCTCATTGCGAAATGGAGATGTGGGAAGTGTGTGCATGTTGATGAGAGAGGAGGGCTCTTGGAAAGCTCTGAGCGGTGCGTCAGTCGCCAGTGGTCAGGCTGATTCTTTAGAAACCCCTGAGTGTGATGAAATGGCCTGAACTTCTACAGATCCTACGGGTCTCACAAAGGACACCAGCAGGTTAGCGCTAGAGAAGGGGAGGGGCTTTTACAGATACTTACATGCATTTGATGTGCCACCTAAGCGAGGAAGAGGTGAAAAATGGTTAAGATATTATCTGGACGGTATATTTTCCCACGTGTAAAGATAACGATGTGTTTCCTTCAAAGAAATCAAGCTGCTGTAGAAACTGAAGAAGGTGGTGAACCAAATATGAACTGAAACTGACAGCTGAAAGCAACACATACTTAACTTGTGCAGATATATCATGAATATTTCAGTATTGGGGTCATTACCTGTAAACTAGTGCTTTGGTCGGAGAAAGGGGAGCTGAAAAATGTCGTCACAATACTCATCACGGTTTCTGTCACGTAGCTTTCTAACGTCGTGTCAGCATGTTTGCGGTCACTTGTATTGTTGCAGACCTGGATGCAAAGCAAGCATAAAGAATAGACAGAATTATTGTGGCCTTGAGTCATTTGCTTCAGTAAGCACAGTCAGAACATACAATGATTCACCCCTTTGCTGCCCCAAAAAAGGACTGCAGACGTCATATAAATAAAAACCCATATAATACCACAAATAATGAATCACTCCTACTCAACTTGAAAAAAACCCACAGGCAATCAACAATTAGACAATGTTAGTTGCACGCTAGCAAGCAACAGATTGGTACTTTTTGGTACTTTACACCTAAACGATTCATTGGGGTTGGGAAAAATCCCCAAATCGGCTTCCATTACCCTGCATATGTCGACCAGAAAGTTCTCAAAGAGCTTCCACATGTGGTTGCTTGTGTAGATCTCCTTCATTTCGACCTCTGTGTCCACGTAGCAATGGTTCAGGAAGTTGATATATGCAATTTTGACCTAAAAAAGGACAGTATACACGCAACTTAATATTCGCAACAAAGATATCAGTAAGCCATATTCTGGGGCTACCTGACTTAGGGAGACGACAGCAATTAGAACAGTGAGATATATATAGTATTTAAAAAAATATTTAATTAATTTAAGTTTTATGTATTTGTAATTAGATTTATTTTTTCTTATGTCTTCAAAAAAATCTAATTGAAGACCAGTTAGAGCAGATAACTCAGATTCTAAATGATATCATTTAATTGTTTTTAATAAAACCTTTCAAATAATTTAGGTTTTATGTAATAAAATAGAATGAATACAAATGCAATTACATTTATTTATTTATGTTCTATATATTAAAATCATGTAACTTAAAAAAAAAGAATTAAATTAAGTTTCATGTATTAAAAAATAATATTTTAAAATGTAAATCAATGTCATTTTAATTTATGTTTCATTTATTAAAAATATCAAATTGTTTTAAAACTAAAAAAAAAAACTAAATTAATTTATTTAATTAAATTTTTATGTATTCAAATAAAAATTACATTAATTTATTTAAGTTTTATATATTAAACTAATCGGTAACACTTTATTTAAGGTGTCCTTATTACACGTTACATGTATTTACTATTATAATAAAAATAAATAATGCATAATTACATGCAAGTAACCCTAAGCCAAACCCTAATCCTAACCATATAGTAAGTACATATAGTAAATTCATATTACTATTATTCCGTACTTAAATGTATAATTACACTGTAACAATGACACCTTAAAATAATGTGTAACCAAATCATCTAACTGAATTAAATCGCTAAAGAAACATAATAAAAAAAAATTAACTTAAACAACAATATTTTTTAAATATTTTCCCCTCAGCAACTTTTACTGAAGAACATAAGGTTCTTGCAATGTATGGAATTACAACATTATTAAATATATCTCCCACTTTGTGGTACTTGATTTTGAAAACAAGCAGCTTTGTCATAACTACAGAATAAATATTAGATTTTAGCTTTTAATTCTTGTGTTAGACAATAGGGGGCCCTTTGAGTTAAACAGACCCACTAATTTAGACTTTGAACATTCGGCCAGTGCCAATCTAGTCTCATATATCCAGATTTTGGACTTGTCTGGTACTCACTTAATCTGTGAGTACCGCTTAATCTGGCCAAAATTCACACACTTAGACAGGAACAGACCATCTGACCAATATAAAATATCCAAGCACAGTTTTTGTTTTTATGTGCCGTTTAGGGGAGGCTAAACAGACAATACCACAATAACACAATGTTAAAATAACAATAACACCCTCAAATTATGCAGCAACCTCTAGGCCACTGACCTCAGGGATGCAGTCTTTGTGTGTAACCACACGGACAATATCGTCCAACGGCAGCAAGGAGTTGCACTTGATCTCGGTGTAGACATTTTTGCCCTCCGTGCAGACGGCCAGCAGCTCCACCAGGTGGATGTGGTACATGAGAGGGCTGTTTTCATCCATCCGGTCACGCTCCGAACGCATCATCTGGACCAGAGTCTGGAAGGAGGCCCGGTCATTATAAAAGACCAGCACATCCTCTCCAGAGTTCACCAACTGCAGAAACAAAACTGATTCGTGTTAGACATAACCACCAAAACCAAAAGCAATTTCAGCACATCAGCCACCCACCTCAGCCATTACGATATCCTGGCATTTTTTGATAAATTTGTTCTCGGCCTTGACGATGGTCTGCAGGAACTTCAGGTACTGCACGTGTCTGCCGTGGGTCTCGATGCAGTGGACGAAGTGCTGCACGACGCGCTCGTTCATCTCACTGCAAAGCTGGAAGTTGTTCATGAAGATGTGCTGCATGGTGATGGCCTCCAGGATCTACACATGACAAAAAAAGATCAGATGTGTTCTGTTTGTTCTGTGAAAAAGCAAAAAAACCTAAACAAAACAGTTTTTTGGGTCTGTCTCTTTAAATGCAAATGAGCTGCTGTTCCCCACCCTCTTTTCCAGAATAGAACTGCGCCATTACAGCTGGTACCTGCTAAAAACATCTGTTTTTGTTCTGATCATCATATTTATCGTGATGAAATCATGCGTTTTAAACCATATGAGTTTAAACTTCTGATATACGGTTTTCTGAGCGAACACATCCGAAGCACACGGAGAGAAAGCAGCGGTCACAGCATGTGAGTACTAAACTAAGTTCTCATTCACACACGTTAAAAACACACATAAGTTGCAAAAACAGTCGGTTATGTCTGTGATGGTAAACTGCTGGGAAATAAATCGCAGGTTTATTTTAGATCTGTGTGGCAGCAGCAATATACAGTAAATAAATTAATAAATCCATTGCTCTTTTGTCTCCTCTGAGGCTGGGACTCTAAACAGCGTTCTGTGCTCGTCTGTGCAGCCAAAGACAGAACAGTTAGCGTGTTTTGCTCAAACTTTCACCATGGCATTAGAACTGGTACACCATTGTCACTTGCAAAATAAAAATGAGGCGCCGTGGGTGGAAACTTACAGATTAAGGGGCGGTAATATTATAATGAGATCCCTTTGCCACATCACCAAGGGAGCGAAATCAGACGCGCTCGTTTTCTCAGATGCTTGCAGAAAAAGGCTTACCAAAACAAAGTTACTGGGTTAATCTTTTAATTCATCTTTTTCACGCTTCCTTGGTTGGTAGATGCACTGGGGACCTGATTATAGCACTTAAAACCTGGAAAAGTCTGATTTTCATGATATGTCACCTTTAAAGGGGTCATATGATGCGATTTCAATTTTTCCTTTCTCTTAGGAGTGTTACAAGCTCTTGGTGCATAAAGAAGATCTGTAAAGTTGCAAAGACTAAAGTCTCAAATCCAAAGAGATATTCTTTATAAAAGTTAAGAGTCAACCACGCCTACCTAAAACGGCTCGTTCTAACACGCCCCCACATGTCTACGTCACAATGTGGGAAGATTTGCATAACGCCGTCCAAATGTTCACGCAAAGAAAGAAGGCGTAACTTTTATTCTCGCTGCAGTATTGTTGCTGCCGCC